GACACCAAATGGACTTCTGAGCAAAGCAATGCTTGTCACTATGCTTGATGACGCAGACACAACACAGCAGTACAAAAGGAACTTAGGTACTGTAATCCAGCACTACAATTACACCACTTTTGTTCTGAAGCAGGAAAGCCAGAATAGTGAACTTGGAAGAACACACACTCACATATGAAACCTAGAAAGCTTAAGATGTAGATTTATTATGCATTAGGAAGCTTATTAACTTAAAAAACCATACTGCATAGTACAAAAGGTTTGTTATCTCTGCTCAATGTGGAACAAGTTTCAAAATATATATTTTTAAAATTTGTTCAGTCAATACACAATCCGTTTAAAAAACTGTATATCTGTCAGTACCCTCATTACATTTATAAATACATGATTTACACAGAACCCCATCTGGAAAAATTAAAACTCCTTACAAATATCTACATATATTGCATACGTATAAAACATTCATAGGAGTACATCGTTAAAGTTGAGTTTAATGGTTCATTTACACTGCAGCAAAATACATATAAATCTGTGTATTTTTCATAAAATGTCTCTAAAAAGTAGCACATTTGTAGCCATTCGTAACTCCTTTAAAGCATCTTTTAGAAAGGAAACTTGATATGAATATATCCATGAGATTCAGCAGGTAAGACAATGATACGAAGGCTAAATATGATTAATAACTGAACACTAAGTAGCAGTTAAGGCAGGGGTGAAAAGAATTAATAGGAAAGATTATTTCATATGGCAGATAAAGTGACAAAATGCAATAAATATACACATTTCTTGATGTAAACTACTCTGGCACCCACTGTTTTTCCTGCTCACAAGTCAGAAGTGTCCATATTTCTGATGCTGCTCATTTTATAACTAAAATTCTATTTTTTTAATCAGCAAAACATTAATGTGACCAGTGCTCTCAGGGGCCATCTGGATTTGCTTTAACTTCTCAGAACTGACTATTCTGGAATGTGGGTTTAAGACTTCAATATGACCTTCATTTATGGGTAATGACTTACGTGTGATCATACACCCTCAGAAGTCACGTCAGTTTCATCAGTGCTTTCTGGCAACTACTGGACTTCTTGTTACTAAATAGTATTTGAGAAGGTGCCTTCAGAAAATTTAGTTACTTTTATTGATAACCACTGCTTCAGATACCAGAACTATACAGATCAGTCCCTCCCACATCATGAGGACAACGTGTGGCATACATACAGACAAAAGGCATAAGAAAGCAGAACAGCTTTTAAAAGTGGTGGCAGAAACTGTTCTGCCTCATACCTGATTATTTTGCACACAACTTTAGGAATTGAACATTCAAACTTTTCAAAAAAAAATCCATTATGTCTGTATATTCGGGTTTCTACCCAATACCAGGATTTGACCTAGCATTTGCAGAACCACACCTAGTTGTAACCTGCCAAGGTAACAAACCCTCCTGCAAGTATGGTATCAACCTGAAGTATCATACAGCATGTGACCTTCCCTTGCACACAGCTGCCTTCCTTTCAGAGGCCAGATACTCTGTACAACCCACCAAGCTCCCGGAGCTACAGTTCAGTGCATGAATTTGTTCCATAGCCTCCTCAAAAGTTAGCTTTCATACACTGCTATCCTGCAGCAATGGTTCAATGTCCTCTTCGCTACTTCGGTCTAGGTTGTTACTCAGAGTACTGCTGATGCTATTGCTGTGTTTTCTGGTACTGCTGGCTTTGCTGTGCTCAGGAATAAATAAGGCGACCAGAAAAGCCAGAAGAACAATGCATGCTCCAACCAGGAAGGGTGGACCAGGAATGATTGCTCTCTGCGGGGAAACAAGCATATCAAAGAATTAATGAAATTTTAGCTTGACTTCTGCATTAAGAACTATACCATTAAGGTGGGAGATAACAGATATATTTACAGTGACTATAAATTTTATGCAGACAAGTTCACATGTGCACTGCAACATGAATTTTCTGAACTGAACACTGATCTAAGAAACAGAAATATGCACAAAAATATGAATTGACAATAGGATTGCCTAGCAGATGAAACAGACATTGACCAATGCTTCTTCATAATTCTTTTTCTTTAGACAACATGCCTGTTAAATCAGCAAGACTCCTCTGAAGATTAATAGGATAAGGTTTCAACATCCAGAAGTACAAACGCTCAATAAATCTTTAACTTAACTGCACTTTTTCCACTTGCTTCCATGGCTGACAAACTTTAGAATCAAGTTCGCCAAATAAACAAAATTCCCAAAAAACTAATACATGAGTGAGGAAGGTAACAGCAGACTATGCTGTACATACTGTTCTCACTGCAGAGACAGGTTGCTGGCATGCATGATAACTTAGTATTTGGAGTTACTCTCTTTTGCTTCTAAGCAGTTTATTTTAAAATTTAAAATACAGCTTATCCATATTTCATAACCACAATTAAAAACAAGCACCAGAAATGTTATAACACTAATTTTAACTAGTTAAGTTTGATGACAATACTTTGCAACAGACAGCATAGCAATCCACTGATTTACTTTTTTTTTTTTATACCTTAAACAACGTTTCTGTATTTTTGTGAACTAAAACTAAATAAAAATCAGAAGATGAAACTTGTCAATCCAGTGTACTTTTTTCTACCAAATTAAATGCAGGAAGTTATTCTAGTATGAAGTAGGAAAGTAGCTGAAATTAAGCATGCAGTAACAGGATATTTTCCTTGCTTCAACTCTTACTACAAGCAGAGGCCTAACTTTTCAGCTGATAGTCTCTAAATTTAAAATATATAATCATATTAACAGAATTTATATTAACAATATTACTTAAATCTTCAAGTGGTGCTAAGACCAGAAGTACTTCAAGAATGTAATAAACTTCCACATATTAATATCCTCATTTGCAGTGTAACAGCTGATTTATCTGAGCAGCTTTTGAATATTCCACTATTGCAGTTTCACTGAAGGGAATAAGAAGATTTGAAAAGCAGTCTCTGCTCATTGCATTGCCAATTGTTATTATTATTCTCCAAACACAGCCTATGACTGCACTGTTTGCTGTAAGGTCTCCCTGTGGATAATTACAATGATACAACCTCACTCCCATCTTTAGGCTCTCCAGTTTCGAAAACAGTTATTTGGGAATTAATACAGATATGCGTAACTTCTACTATTTATGTTCTGCAGAACAGATACACAATTTTTCTTGAATAGGTGCATCAGATGTTTTCTTTGACAGAAAAGAATCACAAGCGTGACCCATGGTAACATTGCAGCTCTCCCACTTCCGCAAGGAAAAAAAAAAAGTTATATTCAGTAAAATCCTATTCCTCTAGTCCTCTAGAGTAATAGAAATACTTGCTCAAAGGCAAGTCAAAAAAAAGGAAAAAAATAAGCTCCAACAGTGTAAAACACCAGAAATGACCACTAGGTTGTTTTCTCCTCCATTTACAAACAACTGAAATTTGCATCCAGACTTTCCTGTCACCACTGTTTTAATGTGAAGGTTAACAAAACCATTATATCTAACAATTTGTTTTAGCACTCTGTCCATCAGCGAACACAGAAGACTATGTCTGAAAGGTAAAATACTAACTTAGGACAATAATCAGCTTTCACTAGTTAAGTGAAACTTTTTTTTTTTTCAATGGGACAGGATAGCTTTCTCTCAAAGCAAAACGTGTCAAAAGTTACACAAATTTATCCTTCACATTATAATTTTAACAATACCTATATAAATAACCTATTTCTGGTAACAACTTAAAAAATCTATTTCCTGTAGTTGCAGTAACACCCAGTATTACAATAGTGGAAACAAAGGAGGAAGAACTTTTTTTAATTTATCTCAGCAGCACACTGGGTTTGATCAAGGTTCAGCATGGTAACAGTGCCTTCTCAATTGACTTCCTGTAGACTCATTGTTTTTGACAAGGGTAGAATACAAGCTTAAGTGTCAAAAAAAAAATTGACAACGCTTGTCACAGACTAAAGCACATTATATCAGTTAACTGCGATTCTACAGACATCCAGTAACTTTTTAAAACAAGGCACTTTACCATTTAAACTTGTTAATGAAACAATTATTAGTTAACATTTATTAGTATTTAATAAAATAAATAAAACATTTTTCAAACTACATGTATCTGTAAAGCAACTCCTTGTTATCAATTTAAAACAATGAACAAAATCAAGAGACAGGTAGCTTGCATTTGGGCCTTGCAAATCCAAAGTATTTGTACTATTGTTGTAAGATAGGCTTGTACACATTTGCTAATTTCCTTGTCTAATCTTGATGCACTCCTTGGTTTCACTTTCACTCATTTTACTTAGATCTATTTCTAAAGCTATATAATATTCAAATTGTGTAGTTATTTCCCACTGTCATATTAGACTTGAACATACAAATTAGCAGGAAAAAAATTGTACTGTTATGTTCCTGAATGACAGTTTTACTTGTTAGGTGCCTGGTAACTATTAACAGAGAGAGATGTAATTACAGACATTTAACAAAGCTTATGAATACATACATAATTAAACATAAGAGTTGTCCCACTGAAACAGCAATAAAAAGCAATCTTAGTTATGTAAATACTTACTGACTTTGCTATACTGCTAATTAAAAAATGTCTACTTATTTGTTAAGTAGGTTTTCAAGAAAACAAAGACATTTGAAACAACACTTTAATTTACACTTACAACTTAGAAAAATCATTATTTTATAAGGAAGCTCATATATTAGGCTTCAGTGCAGGAATTCCTTCTACAACAAGCTTTAGAAAATTCCACAAAAGAAGTTTTGACTCATTTATAACTTACTGGAACAGTCAGTTGCAGCACTGTAATACATCTGGGCTACTTCAACAAAAAAACCCACATGGCTATTCTTAAAGCAACAGAACATACTGACATTACTTGTAACAGAAATGTGCGTACAAAGTCAAAGAGCCAACACGCTCCCAGCCCCCAAGAAAAGCTTACGTGACTTGATCCTTTACAAAACAGACTTTATGAGTGAAATTTTAACTAGTGGAAGCATGACAAAGCTCTTAAAAACCCGAAATCATTATTATAAAGGTTTTCCCTTATTTTACTAGTCTCTTCTTTGTACAACAAAAACAAGTGTCTTTGCCCCTTTACTCTAAAACTTTATTCAGTTTGCTTGAGCAAATTATGGAGCACCTCACCATACGTACAGCAGCGAGCAGTATGTTCAAGCACTGGTTACAGTTAATACCTGGAAAGATGCATGGACTGGGGGATGAACAACACACAGTTGTTTCCACAGTGACAGCCACCAGTTATTTACATATTCAGTTAATCTGTTCTTAATCAGCTTAATGACTAGCTAAGAGATCATCATCTCTCTGAAAAGTCCATTCTTCGTATTTTGAAAAAGCAATGAAATTGTAGCTGAAGAGGTCAGACTAATCAAGCTAAAAAGCAAAAATAATCCATAAGATTCTCTGAGCTCTGGTGAGCATGTATTTGGTATTTTGGAAGCCAAATAGGAAAGAACACAGCGGACAAAAATGCAGACCTGAAACAAAGATGGAAAGGACACAAAAAAAGACTGAAGGGAGTTCCAAAGAAATGTACAGGGTTGACTTCTCCCCCTCCCCAAGTTTCATACAGGTAAGGAAAGGTGATGAATGGCTTGTTACTGCCATTGAAAAAAAATAGGTATCTCAACTGTATGCTGAATTACTGGATATGTGAATAATTAACGTATTGCTGTAAGGTTCAAAGATAAACTTGTTATAACTGGGTTACAAAAATGACCTTCCTATTGTCAAAATTTCATGTTTCACTGTAACTCAGGATTACAGCTGTGTTTTGAGTAGACGTACATCAAAAGAAGTTCACTGACTCCATTAGAATATTGAAACTAAAGCTGCTAATACTGCAAATCTAAATATTTCCTATCAAATCTAAATTACGAGCTTAGTTCGATAAGTTAATACTCCAATAAAGCTAAGTGAGAATTAAGTAGTTTGAGAATTATAAATCAACCAAAAATGACATAGTTTTACGCTTATGAGTTTTACACTGCAACCTTCACACCAAATTTTAAAACTTACCTCATCACTGGGATCTTGCATTGCTTTGTTTCCAGAAGTCTGATCAGGTGGCAACTCATTGAGCTCCACATGAAAGAGAAAGAAAATAAAGCCATACAGTGCTGGTCCCAGGCCATTGCACAGACCTCTTATTCCAGTTATTATTCCTTGGACAACACCTAATGCAGGGAAGAAAAAAAAAAGTGAGTAGGAGGTTTTTTTTCAATCAAGAATTAAACACTCAGAGCCAACAGCTCTGAGTGTATTCTAATGGCTGTTCCAAAATGGCACATCTCATAATAATTTCTCCATACTAAGATCTTAAGAGATAGACTGAAGACAACTTTGCTGGATTAAAATAATCCTCTGCATGACGATAGTTCTGTCACTGTACTTGCATGCTACTGGAAGCAATGTAAGTTTTGAATATGAGTGGCTAAATTTATAGGCAAGTCTAATTTTCTGTGTTAGAGTTCTTCCACCCTCACCCAAGCTTACAAGGAAAAAAGCAGTGATTAAGTGTGGTACCTGCTCAATTTATTTTCAGCTGAAATTTAGAGTAATACATATATGTGTTAAGGGTTGTAATTGGCAAAATATGCACAAACTAACATTTATTCCTTGCACCTGTCTAAAACCACAATTTATTTAAGTACCAAGTAAGTTATGCAGGACAGTAAAATCAGCAGTACTGTATTAAATTCACAACACCAGACTGGTTGCAGTTTTACATTAGATTATTTTAGAAGCTGGATTAATCAAAGCTTTGCGTATATTTCTGTTTCAACTTCATTAAGTTATTGTGACAACAGTGTAAAAAGATTTTCGATGATCTTACAGATTACGATTCTACAGAACACTATTTTTACAATGTAAGTAGTCTGTCCATCCCCTTCGTTCTTAAGGCAGTAACTTGTAAAATGGAAGGAAAGAAAACATGCCAAATAGAATGTTCCAAGTTATTTCTTCATATGTTGACATGTAAGCTTAAAATCTTTGTGCCACTAGGTGGCAAAACTTCACTCTAGAAATTATTGTATGCCTGAGCTATTAACAGTAGTTTCCTCTATGTAAAATGAAAGATCTGTGACTTCTGTCAACTTAATTGAACTATTCATTTCATGACATAAATAGAAAGCAAGTCTTTTAAAACTCTTTTAAATGTCTCTATTAGAAACAAAAACAGGGGAGAGCAGAATGATTAAAAAAGCTATATAAACCACTGTCTTTTGCACTTTTCAAATTCAATAGAAATATGCCTCCTAGAACCTTTCTACCTCCCATTATCTAACTTCAAGTTGTACAATGTCAAAGCAAGATGGATACATATAAATCATAAGTACAGGGTAAAATTCAGTTAATATGCGCCGGTGCTATACTTTGTGATGACTCCTTCCCTCACTTCATTTTAAATGAAGTTATCGCTGACTGTTCATTCCCCTTCACATCAATACCAATTAATTTTTCTGTCTTCTCAGATCAGCTATTTATGTAAGCTGCCTTTTTTATTCCTTGAAAATCTGAAGTATTATAGCAAATAGGGCAAACTTTCCAACATAGAATAGAGCTTCTTGTATAGCCTTATGTGAATCTGGTAAGACGTGATTTTAGTTTCCATTAAAAATATCGTATTGTTACATTAATCATAACTACCTACTTAAACAGTATTACTTTTCATTAAAAAAAAAAAAAGGAAGGAAAAAACATGAAAGTTACCACATCTGTTTTTGTTGCTTTTGTAGTACTTTTACAGGAAGCCAGAAGTAGGTGGTCAGACAGAAACTATGCATTTTGCAATGCAAATTTGATAAATTTGTGTAACTTCTTCCTTTCTACATAGATTGGCAGGCTTACACAGCTACTACCAAAGAAAAACTCATTACTCATCAACATATTCGAAAAGTACACCTAGATAAGTATTCTGCTTTCTACACAGAAGACTCATACAAGAAAGCAGTCTGATGCTGAAACAAATTCATTCAATACTCACCTTGTTGATCTGACTCTGCATTTCGTGAAACCAGAGCACTGATTGCTGGGAATGTAATGCTTGACATTGCTGCTACAGCTCCTGCTGCCCACATCATCCTGTGTTAAATGCATAATTTGAATTAAAAATGAGACTGCCCATATAATTACTCCCTACCCCCCCTAAAAAGGGACAGAAAGGTACATTCAGTAAAGTCGTAATGCCCTTTTGAAAGTACTCTTATTAAAATACCTAAAGACTGGAAATTATCTGATTAGGGCCTTCTTCCTGCTCCCCTCAGAACAAAAGCGCATTCGATTCTACACTAGCTATTACAACAGAGGAAAAGAAGGGAGTGGGAGTGAAGTGATGGACAGGCTTTCCCTCTCCAAAGGAACATTTCACAGGGTGGCCCAGTAAGGCAGTTCTCTAACTTTTATAACTCACTAGGAAGTGCTCTGATAAAGAACAAGCATTCATCACTGTTAGTAGGACAAACGTTGTAAAGAAAAAGCTGTTCCAGCCTATGGTTCTAGTTCACTTTACTCACAATTTTTCCAACAAAAGAAGCTCTAGATAATTTTCAAGACCAAATATAGCTATAGTGAGAAAACGACATTAGAAAAAAAAAAAAAAAAGGAAAAAGTAGAGGTCCAGTAACTGATTAGAATGGTTCTAGTGGAATTACTGGAGAGAACATACTACTTACTAGCTTGTCAGTTTAAGAAAAAGTTTTAACCACATTTGTTGACATAAACTCAGTAGACCAAAACGGTGCAAAGAATTCTTTTTCAAAAGGGCTGTTAGTCTGCAACTTTCAGTATAAACCTGGAAAATGCTATCATTCCTACACAGGCAAAATACAGACTAAACTTTGATAGTGTAACACAAATGAGAATGCTTAATTCACCGAACATTTAAATACTCATGATGACGGAACTAAATGGTAGAACTGCTTGAAAAAACATTTTCAGTTCCTTAATAGATATATACCTATGAAAATGGATGCTTACCAAGACTGAGATCCAAAACCATACCAAGCCAACTGAAGGATTTGAAATCCAAGGCCAAGGAGAACTGTATTTTTGTTCCCTATTGACCTCATCAAGATACTGAGAAACACAGTCTGCAAGAGAAATTAGTTCATCCAAAAGTTATTTTAAAAAGCCAGATTACTAAAGGAGTTTCTCCTTCTACAGAAAGTAATTCAGAAGTCCTTTCAACTGCTGAGGAACTTCACACTACTCGTGCTCTCACTTCCCCTGTATTAAGTCCAAAATGCAGACTAGTCATATCAACATTTGATGTACAGATATTCTTAACTATTAAAGAGTTTCTATTTCAGGACATTGAGAAACATATCTATAGCCTTTTCTATGGACATTATATATCAGTGTCTGTTTCTACTGTAAACAGGCTTTCACTTCCACCTCTACTATTGTGTTTCATTACAGACTAGAGTGTTCCACAATAAATGCTGGTAACAAGTTAAGATAGTACAGGCTGGATATGGGTTGAATTTACGAGTATCTACAAATACTAGAGGGAAAAGAAAAGGAAAAAAAAGACTGTCAGTGCAGAAAAAAGTAATCTCTAAGTTAGGTGAATTGCTATCCAAATTTACAATTAAAACCAACAAGTAGATCCTGCTGCTTTTCCAACATCACTGCACGCATCGAAATTTAGTCAAGGCCAATTCCTAAGCATCTTTAACTACAATTTCTGGTGACTCTTTACACCACTCATATGACCTTTTTATTTGCACATGGAAACTAACCCTAAAGGAAGACTACTGTTTTCATCCATTAGACGTGCTGTTGCTGAGGGGGAAGTAGGACCATTCAGATACAACAGCAATACACTCATGGCAACAAACAGCCTGTTCCTAGCAAGGCAACATCCACACAGACAACTCCATTCAATTAACAGCACACACGTTTTTCTTTAACATGAGAAACTCAGTGATGCAGCAGTAAAAAGCCAGAGAAAAGGAACCAGAAGGACTGCAGAGCAAAGCACACTTCCTCTCTCATGTACATCTTCCTCGCAGTAGTTTTCTTGTTTCTCGTTCTTAGACAAAACTAGTTTGAAAGCTAAATAGCAAAAACTACAGTAGTTCTATCTGCATGTGATCAGTTCTTTCTGGAGATACCCAACGTGCCAACACAAACTAGTATTCATGAAGCAAAGCTTATTTCAATAAAGCTGCACTCTTCAAAGAGTTCAAAAATCCATGCAGTTTCCTCATTTTAATACTGAAAGTTATCAATCAGAAGGGCAGATATTTTAGAGATTTTTAGCAAAAATACTGGTCTGAAGAAAATATGACTGGCAAATGTGAGTGCACAGAAAAGCATCAGAACAAACCACAGAGCAAGGATTACAATAATGGTTTGTATTGTTAAGGAAGAACACCACTGACATCAGTAAAACTGGTAAACACTGATGAATGTGTTGCTTCACAGTGAGACCTCCCCTCTACTAAGGACAGCAACAAGGTTACAGCACATTGTATGTGTCATTCAGCTTCCTGTTATCAAAACAGGAAGATAAACTGTACCCATAAAGATACCAAAGATCACATCATAAAAACTGTTTGATTTCTAGAAAGCATAAAGGACCTGTTCAAAAAACAGCTCCCTGTTACCAATTAAGAGGTATGCAAACAATATACCAAGGCCTCACAGTTCCTCAGCCTCCATGCTGAGCCTAAGTGACCCTGGACAGACCACATCAATTCCTTCATCATTTGTATGCACCTTTGATAGCACAAGACAATAGAGGAGAGGGAAGTAGCATGACTTTTGCTTAAAATAACACGTTTCCCTTTGAGAAGGCCTTGCAATAAGTAACCAATTTCCTACATTACTTTTATTATTTAAAGCCAGAGTTCCAGTAAATTTACTGATCTAAGCTTAGCAAATTTTTGTTTCATTTTTCTGATGCCTGGGTCCAGTATTTCTAAGGAAAGCAGATTTAAAGCAAGACATTTACGTAGACCATACATGAACATTTAGTGAATGCAACGTGTACTGGCATTTAGAGTGTGTGAGAAGTTTATAGGCAAGCTTAATAGTCAGAAGAGCGTTCCTCAGCATTCAGTTTGAACTGTCTAATGAAACAGTAAAAAGAATAAAGCTTACCTGAGCTACTATAGACAGAATGCCTACCACAGCTATAAATGCCGCGATGCTAGCAGATCCAAAACCTATAATCTGAAGAGAAACAGAAAATACATAAAACAAATGCCAAGCACAATCCAGGACAGTCACTAGCAAAGAGATACCTTGTTCAAAGAAAACATTGATCTCTGCTTATAATCTAAATCCATACAGGAAGAGTCCCTTTTTGAGAACAATCCTTAACTCGACTGCTTGCCAAGAAATCCACATAAGAAAAAAAAAAAAAAAAAAAACTGCGTTAAAAGGAGACTGAGGATGTCATGTATCTGGAAACTGAAGTTCTCTATCCCCTCCCTCAAACACAACAGCTTTTCAACGGGAAAGATCCCACCTCGAGACATACAAACTGCTGTACTGAATGGGAACAAAGGTCTGCTTAACATTATGAACACATGCTTAAGCTATGGCAGGGTTTACACATTAGGAATCTAGTGTTACTCAGTTATTGGCTTTACTTTTTAAAGCTGTATTTTGCCAGAAAGCACTTCGCTGAGCAAAGTCTTCAAAAAAAAAAGAGGTCTTAGGGAATAGTTATTTAATCATCCTTATTAAGATGTAAAGACACCAACATTTACCTGTCGCAAGTACAGAAAAAAGCTAGAATACTGGCCAGCCTCAGGCAGATAGGAGAGAAACACTGTAATGCAGATCGGGAGAACAGTAGAATCTTTTCTAACCTTCTTCAGAGACTGTAAAACAAAGAAACAAAACAATATTGGAACATTTGTATAAGTTACAGTGAAAGCATAAAGAAAGCTTTAGGTGTATTCACATTTTTAAAATCCATTTTTACTCACGCATATGAGTCAAAAAAATTACACATGGAAACAGTTAAGCTGAACTCTAAGTTAAAAACAACCCTCTTATATAAGGTTTGTAGTATCCAATTCTTTTGTTTTCGTTTGATTCTTGAAGCTACTGTTCAGTGTCAAATTACGAGTATTTACAGGAAACAGAATCATATAATATCTAGGGAAAGGCATAATATCTTCTAATTGATCTCCATAATAATCTGTTCTGAAAGATGCTAGCAAATAATACAGCCTCTTTACAACTGTTTCTCTTACTAAATTAACAGAGTATTTTTGCTTGTACATTTCTTATACTTGTTCACCCAAAATATGGATCAGTTTGAGTAACAAATAAATCGTGGAAAACAAAGTCTTTAACTGCAGTCTTTCAATCACATCACTCATCTCTCAACATTCACAGCCAATTCCCAGCAGGGTGGATCTCATGAAGAACAATCACTCTTTC